GGCTGCCCAGGGCCTGAGCTGCATTGTCCAGCCGCTGAGCCCAAGTCGGGTGCAGGAAGGGCTCTGGTTTCCTGAGATGAGGGGAGAAGCCCTCTCAGGTGGCTGGACGTCACCTCACCTGCCCCCAGGAGCTCAGCTGGTGGAGTCACCTGTGAGGGGAGGATGGGCAGGGCCTGGGGAGCTTGTCACCAGCCACCACTGGCCCCAGGAAAGGCTGCTCTAGGTCCTCTGTATCTTGCTGGGGCTTGGGGGAGGCAGGGGTGGCCAGCAGGCATTGGGGATCCCCTGGGTCTTGCAGGACAGGACCACTAGACCCTCCCGGGGCACAAAAGCTGATGTGCAGGATGGCGGCGCCAGACATGGCTCCCCTAAGGCCAGTTCACTCCTGGGCAGGAGCCTCCCAGAAGCCCCCACACCCATCGTAGGCCCCACCAGCCAGGGTTCCTTCCCAGCCTCCTCAAGTCTCAGGAGCTACTGGAAGATCCCAGAGGTTGGTGCCCTGGGGGAGCCGCAGCCCCTCACTCCCAGGCTCACCTAAGCATGTGGGGGAGGGGCTGTTTCACAAGGATGTGGACACACAGTTCTGAGCCCAGCGTGGCCTGTGACATCTGCCCGGGAGGAACAGGCCTCGGTCCTCTGAAGGCTGTGCCGGCTGGATCCCAGCTCCCGGAGGCCCCAGGCCTGACCCCAGTGTCCCTGTGAGACCGAGCCAGGCCCAGAGGTCAGGGGACTGGAGCCTGGGAAGCAAGTGCAGGCCCCCCAGGGCATCCTGTGTGAGCGGCGGCCATGACCTGCTGGGTGGGCTTCGGGGCAGGGCGCTGGGCTGGGAGCACATGGGCAGCGAGGATGCCGGGCTTGGCCCTTGGAGGCTCCTCCAGTACCCTGGGCTCTGGAGAACAGGCCCACTCTGTGTCGGGAGAGCCAGGCAGCTGGACTAAGTGTCTCTGGGGAAGAGGCAGGCACGGCTGTCCCAGAACTCCTGAGGACTGCTCCAGGCAGGGGACACCCGGGTCTCCTGGGGAGAGCTCCCCGTGGGCACGGGGCACAGACCCAGGGCCCTTTCCCCAAGACACTGGGGGCACGGGCAGAGCAGGTGTCCTGCTCTGAATGTCGCCTCTGATGGGGGAACCCTCAGCCATCCCCCTCCCTGCCGAGTGACTCACGCTGGTGGTGCCTGGCTCCGAGGACGTCAGAAAGGGCTGCCTGCCCCGGCACTGGTCACCAGGCTGGCAGGCCTGGCATCCACATGTCAGCTTGGGCAGGGTGTGAATAGAAGACAGGAGAGCCTTTGACGGCCCAGGACAGACAGGCCCCGAGGACCCTGGAGAGCCAACTCCCCCGCAGGGCCCAGCGGGCACCGTCAGTTCCAGGCACTGCTGGGCTGAGGGCATAGCTGCTTGGGGTGGCCTGTCTCCTCCAGCCCCACAGGGAACGGTCCGGGTGTCCAGGCTGAGAGCATCAAGGGGCTAAACCCCCCCAATGCTGTGCCCCACCAAGCCACCAGCCCCTCCTGGGGGACGCTGTGGTTCCGGAATGTTCCCTGCATGGTTCTCCTCAGCAGTCCGGCCCCTCCCTGGGGCTCTGTCTCCCCAGAGCCTGCTCTGGCACAGCACGAGGCCTCAGCTCCCCTCCCTGGGCCCCTGTGAGGTGTGAGGGCCCGAGCTGAGCAGGCCACGGGTGGCGGGCATGCCCACCCACAGCTGTGGGCCCTGAGCCCTTGGTGTTTCTGAGCAGATTTCTTCTCCTCTGGCTCAGTGCTGTTCCTGCTGGTGCCATGTTGTGTCTTCAGGATACACATGTAAAGTGTGTGGGAACCTCAGGTGCTGTTTCAACACAGCATACACCTTGGGGTCTGGGAACCTCCCCGTGGCACCTCTGTGCGGGCTCTGAGCTGGGCCACTCGGTGCCCACCACGTCAGGCGCGTATCCCGGGTTCATTTTTGAGGGTTGGGGTGCCGTCCACGTGTGCACGCAGCACAGCACTGGTCTGGCCACGGCTGAAGGGCACTGGCTTGTCTGGGGTTTGGTGACTGTGAACGGAGCAAAGGTGAACATTCGTGTTTATGTGTGAGCCTCCCTCATTTCCCTTGAGCAGGGACCCAGGAGTGGGACTGCTGGGCCTTTGCTGTGACGAGACACTGTCCGCAGCGGCTCTGCCACGTTGCACGGCCAGCTGTGGGTGGGCATGCCTGCCACCCGTGGCCTGCTCAGCTCGAAGTGCTGGCAGTTCATTTATGTGATTGTCTAGCCCCCCGGAGAGTGCCGGGGGCTTCTGTGGTTTCCGTCCGCACTTCCCTGACGGTGCCGACGTGTCCGCCTCTCCGTGTGTCTGTCCCGTGCACGCACTTCTCTGGTGGTGTCTGCTTCAAATGTCCCGCCCATCTTCTCACGTGGATTTTCCCTCACTGCTGAGTTTTCAGAGTCCCTTGCGGATCTCGGAGGCCAGTCCTTTCTCAGGGTGTCTCCCAGCTGCGGCCTGTCTTCTTGCTCTCTTGCTGGTGGCTTCTGAGATCAGTTTCCAACCTTTTGATGAAGTCCAGTTCATCCATTTTTTCCCATATAGATCATGTTTTGTTGCCATTTCTAAGAAATTGTTCCTAAGCCCAGGTCACAGAGATCTTTGTGCTTTAGAAGCTGTAGTTTCTTAGTTAGGACTGTCGTCTATTTTGAGTTAGTTTTGCGGACAGAGTGAAGATAGATCAAAGTGCATTGTGCACAGGGGTCGCAGCTGCTCCAGCTCCGCTGTGGAAGAGGCAGTCCTTTCTCTCTGGCTTGACTCTGCCCCCGCCACCTCGGCAGACAGCATCCGTGCGCTGAGCTGGACTCCCAGGCCATGCGGCCCGCTGCACACCTGTGCCCATGTCGCCGCCACTTTGCAGTCAAGTCTTGGAGCTGGGCAGTCAGTTCTCTGACTGTTCTCATTTCTCGAAATTGTTTTGGCTGTGCCAGGCCCTCTGCTCATTGAATTCTGGAAAGCTTTGCTGGGGTTTTATGGGTCATTTGTCTCCTGAATCGTGGCCACTGTAGATTCTGCAGCTGGGAGTGCCTGTGGAATGCTTGGCCTGCTGGGTGTAGCCTTCTCCTGCCATTCCAGAGGCTTCCCTGGTCAAACGCAGGTGCCTTTGCAGAGCTGAACCTCATCCACAGGATTTCTTGTTTTAAACATTTAAAAACCTCACTTTGGGTTGGTCAGAGGAGAAAAATGTTTTCTAACTAAAATTATTATATAAAAGACCAAGAGTCACTTTAGAACCTCTCTGAAATTGCCTGAATGGCCTGTGATGGGAGGAGGATGTGGGGCGTGGAGTGTGTGCACCTCCGGCTCACCAGGCTCTGCAGCTCTGAGGTGGGGGCAGTGCACAGGGGGTCTACCTGGCAGGTTTTGGAGCCAGGGGGTCTGAGGTGGGGGCCTGTACCCATGCTGCCAAGTGTCCTGGGGCAGCAGAGCCTCCTAACCCTGTCCCTATGTGGGGAACAACTCCACCTAGGACCCCAACACACACACACAGAGTTGGGGCCCCAGCAGGTCCCAGGACCCCCAACTTCCCCTGCAGCTGGATTGGGCTGTGGTGGCCCTGGGAGGAGGAGGTGGGCGCTGCTCCCTAATGGCTCCCCCACCCAGCCCCAGCAGAGTGCATCGTCCTGCAGGGCTGTGCCAGCATCCGGCTGTGTATAGAGGACCTGCTTCTGCAAAGCTTTCTTCCAAGACAGTTTGGATTTGCAGCGCTGCCAGGGTGGCTGTGGGTAACCCCCCTTATAGGCACTGAGGAATGAGAGCTAAGCAGAGCCCTGGCACAGTAAGGGCTTGAGGAATATCTCACTTTATAGTGTTACTACTCAGCGATTTCCTTTTATATAATCCTTTATACAATCATATATTAGTTTATAGAAACAGGGCTTGAAGAATCCCTTTATATAATCCTTTATATATAATCATGTAATAGTTGATAGTATAAGTGCCAAAAGAATATTCCCTACATATATACCTGTAATTATATCTTGGTTCATAATCGGAGAAATGTCTAGCGCGGACACAGTACAGAGCATGAATTAAGGAATAAGCAGCTTATCAGAGGAATGCCTAGAGCAGACGCAGTGCAGAGCATGAATTAAGGGAAAACAGTTATATCAGGACAAGAACCCATGGCCCAGGCGGCAGCGTTCAGTATTGTAAAGATACCCACTGTATGGCGGGCTTGGGGCGAGAGCCACTCCTCCTGATAAGGATTTGTAGGACCTTGCTCGGTTCTTGCGGAAGACCTCCCTCAGACCGGCAGTCCACCTTGGTGACTGTGAACTCTATCAGCTCTTGCTACTGTGCTGCTTGAAAAGCATCTTCCCATAGAACCCACTGGAAGCTGCCAGCAGGTGGCGGTAACCCTGACAGCTCTGTCACTGCCGTTTGACTTAAAGCATCTTCCCATAAATCTTCTTAGAAGTAGTTTGCCCATAGATAGAAGTATTGCAAACTGCACCCTCCTCACTGCGCACGACCTACCTTCAAACCTCGGTGACCTAATGGGGGTGGACCCCTTATTGCACACGGCCCTTGCCTTCGTGGGACTGGGCCCCTTGCTGCGCACCGTCCGCCTCCTGGCCTAGGTGACCTAATGGGGGTGGAGCCCATGTTTTATTGCTCACGACCCTATCACTATCCTTAAAGATGATTTCACTCCCTGCCCTGCCCCCTAACCTATATACAATAAAGACTCAGGCTTCTGGACATTCGGGCCTCGCCTGACTCCGCTCAAAGGTGGCGTGCCCCCAGCCCAGCTGTGTTTTCCTGGTACTTCTGTGTCCTGTCTTATTTCTCGGATCCTGCACCTCAGCACAGCCTAAGGCTCACCCCACGACCCTGTGGGACCTTCAGCCCTACAGGTGGCCGCCTGCGGGCGAAGCCTGTGGGCTGCTGTGCTGTGGCTGCCAGCTCTGCTCGGACCCACGCGGGGAGGGTACCCTGAGCCGGCCCGGGCCCAGCCCTATCACCCGTGTCCCTGCAGAGGGAAGTCTTGCCGGACCATCACCTTTGAGCAGTTCCAGGAGGCGCTGGAGGAGCTAGCCAAGAAGCGATTCAAAGATAAGAGCAGCGAGGAGGCGGTTCGCGAGGTGCACAGGCTCATCGAGGGCAAGGCGCCCATCATCTCAGGGGTGACGGTGAGCGGGGCGGGACGGAAGGCAGGCTGTGGAGGGGGCTGGGGGCGTGGCGGGTGGGTGGTGCCTTGGGCGTGGTCAGGAGGGGGCATGGATTGGGGCGTGGTCTGGTGGGTGGGTGGTGCCTGTGGAGGCGTGGCCAGAAGGGGCAGTGATGGGGGCGTGGCCTGGGCGGTTAGTGGGAGGTGTGTTCAGAAGGCGTGGCCTGGGGCGTGGTCAGAAGGGGCAAGGATTGGGGGCGTAGCCTGGAGGGTGGGGCCTGGCTGTCCTGACAGCCCCTTCCTTTCCTCTGAGGGTGCAGGCCATAGTGTCCTCAACCACATAAATACCAGGTGGAGCTGGGCAATTGTTAGGGTTGTGGCATCTCACTGGCCCAAGGCTGCCGCAGGGCCAGGTGAAGTAAAAATAAAAATGAAAATTTAAAGGCGCATAGATCACAGGGTTTATGCCCCTTGCCCACCGCCCACCGCCCACCGCCCACCGCCGGCAGACCTGCTTAGGGCGCAGCCACCTCACCTGGCTCGCAACTCACCTGCCCCCTCCCTTCCACTCCTCTTGCAGAAAGCCATCTCCTCGCCCACCGTGTCGAGGCTCACAGACACCACCAAGTTCACGGGCTCACACAAGGAGCGCTTCGACCCCTCTGGCAAGGGCAAGGGCAAGGCCGGCCGCGTGGACCTGGTGGACGAGTCAGGCTACGTGTCTGGCTACAAGCACGCGGGCACCTACGACCAGAAGGTGCAAGGGGGCAAGTAGCCCCCCATGCCCGAGGCACTGCGGGTGTCCCCGGAGCAGGGACTCTGTCACCTCACACTTCATTACATTCCTGTACTCACTCGGGCAGAACTCATACCAGTGCCCCAGCAGGGGCTGTGGGGAGGCCGGGCCCAGGCCTCCCTCCTGCCCCTCCTCCTGCCAGCTGCCCCCAGTGCTCCCCTCTCAAACCAGGTTTGGGCCCCCGTTCACTGACTCTCCAATACACCGTCTCATCCTCAGCTGGGAAGAGGAAGCTGTTTCCAACATGTCTCCCTGATCACGCCACGTTGGGCACGTGTTTTGCTGGTCAAAGGGGCATTTTAAAGGAGCGGGCTGTCGTGGCAACAGGAGGCCATGCTGACCTCCTGACCAGCAGACCCCTTCCAGGAGCTCTGAGGGAAGCAGGAGCTAACACCAACCAGCAGGCGGCTAACACGAGTTGGCCCCACCCCAGACGCAGGAGGTGTCTATGGGGCCAAGGCCTGTCCTGCACGCAGCGGACACCACAGGGCCTGCCTGCTTTCCCGGGCAGAGGGGAGACTCGGCCCACCAGGCAGGCGAACTGGGCCTCTGGTGCAGGTGTGGGGAGGCTGGCCACATGGACACACGTGTGCACACGTGCCTACGGGCCAGCTCTGTGCCCAGGGCGGCGTTGGTAAAAGGAAGGCTGTGGGGAACAGAGGGTGGCTTCCCAGCTGACTGTAGTGCCCCAGAGTGTGCGGCTGGAGTCGGCTCCCTCTGCTTTACGGAGAAGGGGCAGTGGCTGCCTGTCGTTCTCAGAGTGGGTCTGGGAAGATTCGGAATGTCTGATCTCCCTGGTGTCACCAGTCAGGAGACACGAGGTGCCGAGACACTCCTCACCTCACACGTGGCAGGGCCTCTGCCTGGCCTCCCACTCGCCCGGCCTCGTCCTCACTAGCTGCACTCTGCTTGCTCACAGACCTCCTACCCACAGCCCAAGCACCTCCTTCAACTCTCTCTAAATGGCCCCGCCTGACCTCTCCCAGCCCCTCCCCTCAGAGCAGGACACCAGGGAGGACCCCCAGGCCTGCAGCGTCTGGGGTGCTTCTCTGCTAGTGAGCGGCCCAGCAGAGCCTGTTCAGGACCCTCCACACTGCCAGGACACACCCAGGCTGCCCACCCTTGCCCATATGCACCTGGGGAGAACCCGGTGCTCCTGCTCCCTCCTGGGGCGGCTGATGGGCGTGGCCACCTACTGTCACAACAGCCCCACTGCCACTGTCCCTTGGCACGCACACAGCCACAGCCTCTTGTGTGACCTGCTGGGCCATGGGTCTGGAGCCTACCTGCGGAGGAGCCTTCAGCAGTCCTGGGGAAACGCTTCAGAGCCTGCTTGTCCGTGGCCACAGTCAGGGCCAGGGCCAGGCTCACAGTACAGGACAGTGAGGTCTCTCCCTCACCGCCATGGCACACGTGAGCACCACCCACCTCCCCACTCCCAAGAGTACACATGCAGCCACTGCCCCACGGAAGACTCCTCCCACCAGAGCACAGCAGGAGCCCCAGGGCCTGAGCTCCCAGCCAGCATGGTCCACTGAGACCTGGGGGAGGGGGTCTCTGAGGCCCCTTGGCAGGGAAGCCTCAACCTGAGGACGGGGTCCTGGCAGGCAGCTTCTATGACAGGTCCTGGAAGTTCATGGTGCCTGGCAATAAAGATGGAAGAATAATGGATCTCAGGCTTCGTGGCTGCTTTAGGATGTCGCCTCGCCAGCCTGGGGGGCGCACAAGCCCAGCCCTATGCCCTCGCTGAACTTGGCGGGACCACGTGTGAAAGGCAACTAACATGCAGGAAACGTTTGAAAACAACTGTGAATGTGCAAAGTGTGGAATCACCCAATCACAGCCCCAGCGCAACCCCGAAAGCCCTCGAAGAGGCCGAGGACAACTGGTCACTGAATAGGGCGGCTCCCCAGGTCCCGAAGCCTGAGACCCGGAGGACCCTGGCACCCTCACCCCTCGTGCTCCTGCCCACTTCAGCCTCCCTGGCCCCAGTGCAGCTCACCCTGGGCTGCGTCTCCTAGTCCGAGGCTGTGTTTCTTTTTCTTCTCATGGGCAGCCCGGTCCCCACAGTCACAGCCAAGTCATGCAGAATGAACGTGACTCCAGAGGACCCCAGCGCTGGAGCTGAGGGCGCTGGGTCAGGATGGAGGGACAGGTGGGTTGAGGGCCGTGGGTCCCCACACTGTGCAGCAGGCAGAGGCTCGCCCAGGCCCTGCTTCGGTCTGTGGGCACGAGGGACACTGAGGACAGGTGCTGGGCGCAGGATGCTGCCTCCTGGTTCCTGGTTGGCCTTGAGAAAAGAGCGAAGCTGTGCCAGGAGCAACCAGAAGCTGGATTTGAGCACAAGAAGTGCCTCCGCCCAGCCCAGGCACCAGCAACCTCGCAGGGAGCAGGCCCTGCCACTGCTGGCCACCTCGCCCACGCCGGGCCACCTTGCCCACGCACCAGCACCGACTCACCAAGCCCTCCCCAGACCTGGCCAGAGTGGCAGGAGCCGTGGGGCCCATGGCGTCCATCTTGGCCCTGGAGGTGAGCTCCTTCACAGAAGTGGCCCCTTCACTCCAAGGGACATCATGGCGTGTGTCCCAAACCCTCGGACATGCCTGTGGGTTCCATGAATAAAATCGAGGCTGCCGTGGCACCCTGTCCGTCCTACCTGGAGCACCCTGGGCTCCTGGAGGGAGAGGCCCCATGCGCCCGCTCTCCCTTCACACACCCAGCGTTGGCACCCATGAGTCAGAGGGGAGGCCTCCCTGGCGTCCCGCCCTCCCCCTGCGGCCCCCAGGCTGTCCTCAGATGTGCGGGAGCCAGGAGAGTGCCCTTCTCCACCCAGCTCCAAAGCGAACCTTTGAAAACACCTACCCTGCTCCTGTCTTTGCCACCTAACCAGGAGGGGCAGCAAAAATGAAGTCGTGAGGACACAGCGGTCACCACTGTCAGTTAAAAATTGTCTGCGGAATCTGTGACTGTATCTGTCCGCCGCTGCACAAGAGACCCGTGCATCTTCCTCAGTCGGTTTCTGAATATTGTGAATTCCAAGCAGATGTTTTTTCTCTTCTGCATGTTTTTATGCACTGCCAATTAGCTACTACTAACCATGGTTCAACAGAAAATAAATGTGTATTTGTGATAAAAGAAACTGCACAGCCTGCAAACCAGGAGAGAGGGACAGGTTCTGTCAGGGGGGGTGACACCAGGAGACAGGGACAGGTTGCATCCATCGGGAGGGGGGGTGACACCAGGAGACAGGGACAGGTTCTGTTGGGGGCGGTGACACCAGGACACAGCAACAGGTTGTCGGGAGGACAGCGCTGATGGTGTCTCAGAATCAGGAAGGGAGAAAGGCGGAGAGAGTGTGTGAAGACTGGTCTCACCAGAGTACTTATTTATTTTTATTTACTGCCATAGGATAAGCAACTAGGTAGTGTTCATAACAGTTAGCTTTACCAAAATTAAAGTTCAAATTATGTTTAAAATATTGTAGCAGAAGATATATATTTATACTGGACTATTTTTACACCTTCTAATATCCTGTCTCAAGTTTGGGCACAGATGCTGGCATTGGGCGTGCATCATGCCCTGTGGCCTCCCCACCTGCCCATGGGTGCCGCTCCGTCCTGGGCCCCAGTGGTGCCAGCTCAGGGCCGGCCACAACTGCCCTGCGTGGCTGTCACCCCCACCCCACCCCGCCTGAGGCTGCTGTGGCCACCTGCTTTTGCGAATGGTGTTTTATGGACAGGGGGCCTGTCCTGTGTGTTCACACACTGCCTGTGGCTCTGTGGCTGGAGTGGGGAGGCGTTGAGATGGAGACGCCTTGGCCCTGGACGCTTCTCTGTCCCTTCACGGGGAAAGCGGGCATGCTGGTCCAGCCCATCTCCTCCTGCAGGCAATCACGCGTGCACTGGCCACTCTCCCACCTGCAGCCCACAGATGAGGGGATAGCACAGGTGACCATGAGGCTGGGCCATGACGTGCCGATAGTCTAGAATGTGTTTCAAACACTGAGCCTGCACCTTTCCTCCTTACTACTGAGCGCTGTGTGGCCTCGGGTGATTCAGGGTGTGGCGTTTGTCCGTGGGCACAGGGCAGGGAGTCAAGGGCACTTGGAGACGCTTTACTTAACTTTTTTTTTTCAACCTCTTAAAAAACTAAACCAAGCCAAACCACAAAGGAAACCTGCACAACTTAAGAGAAACTTGAAAGGGATGGTGTAACTACTAGTTTGTACTAAGTTTTTTTCAAGAAAGGGAAACAAATTTATATATATATATATATATGCAATATATTTTTACACTGAGTAACGCTGGGGAGTACTGAGCGAATCACTTTATCAGCGGACGGGTGCTGTCCACGTCCTGCGTGTTGTGGAAGGCACTTCTGCGCTGTCTGACCCGCGCTCACGGGGACGTCTGCGGGCTCCGTGGCCCTGCTGTGGCTCCTGCAGCGCGAGGCGTGGTGTCACCTGCTGGACTTGCCGTCAAGCCTGGCTTGCAAACCCGTAGTGAAACAGCTCGTGTCTGTGTGCACACCGCCCCTGTGTGTCTGCTGTTGTTAACATTGTGTGTCACATTGGTCAAGTGACAAATAAATGTGTGAAAACATGGATTTCTCTGTTCCTCGGAGTGCACGGCGTCCGTAACAGACAGTAGGGGACGGGTACCAGAGGGGCTCAGGTGGGAGTGTGCAGAGCGCCTCTGCTGGGCTGAAGCTCACCAGGGTGAGAGTCCTGTGTCCCTGTCGCCCAAGGGAGGCTCTCGCTTTCTCATTAGACAGGAGGACTGTGAAGAAGGAAGAGGCGGACCAGCTGCCTGTCAGGTATGAGGCCTGGTCTGGTGCCTGTGCAGCCCTGGGTGGGGTATAGATTGAAGGGGAATGGATGTGAACACTGACCACCAACCATTGTCGCCCCCAAAACAGGGTGATGTCATCACAGGCTGCTATAAAGAAAAAGGCCTGAAACAGCACCCAGTGAACCATTTTCCCCAATCAGGACACATAAAGGCATTCTTAGTGAAGGGAGAATTTTCCACCAGCAGATGTTGAGAAATTGTAAATGCAGAAAGAAAAGGTGATCACAGATGGTATTTCTGGTGTGTGAGGAAACAAAGTGGAGCAAAGAGAATCAATAGTTAAATAATCCAAATTACCAGCGACTGCATCAATACTTTGTGAGATTAAAATGTTTTGTGAAAATACATGGGAACCACCACAGGTAAGCAGAAGGGAGCATGGGGAGGGGCGTGCGCCTCCCGCTGGAGGAACCCGGGGTGGGTGAGAGCGTGGGCTGAGCGCACACCTGGCGTAGGAATGGAACAGAGGCAGAGTGCAGTCTCCAAACGAGCAGAACGGGGCATGCGGGACGGCAGGAGAGCATCTGAGAATGGCAAATGTGGAGAGGGAAAAAATCATGGAACACGGCACAAAGCAGGAAATGAGATGGCAGATTTAAACTAGTGAGACGGTGGATCAGTCACATTCACTGATAAAGCAAGACAGAAACACAGAACAGGGAAACTGATAAAATACGATTTACTTATTTGTAATTTCAGCCAAAGATACAAAGACCAGATCACAACTCCAAACGAAAAGAAAACGGAGGCAAAGGCTGGTTTTTCAAAAGGACTGAAGAGAAAGCTCAAACAACCAGTAAGAATGGGCTGGGTCCCCAGGAGGCAGATGCCGAGTTGCAGGGTCCAGCCCTGCAGAGTCCTGTGAGCCCCTCTCTCCTGGTGTGGAGACGAGAAACTGCGGAAATGAAAGACACAAGACACCAAGAAAGAGAAAACAGAGTTTGGGCCCAGGGTCACTGCCAACCAAAGCTCGGAGCCCGGCCGTGGCCCAGTGTCCGCACGCTCTGACTTTACTCAGTACACAGCAGGGGGCAGGGCAGGTGGGGTGAGGTGATGCTGGTCAGTGGTAGGGTCAGGTACATCACGCGTCTTAGGGATGGCCCAGGACTTTCAAGTAGCCGAGATGAGGTAAGGAGCATAATGTGTCAGCTCTTCTTCCAGACTTGTCAAGACACAGCAAAGACATTAAGATTTATGTTACTTATACTGATGATCTCTTCTAAGAAAAAGAGGAACCAGGTGCAGAAGCAGAGCGTGAGAGTGACATGGAACGTGACCACTGAAGCACAGCATCACCAGAGACAGTTACGCCCCCGATGTCTGCGGGCCTCCCTGGCAGCCGTGAGGCCTTAACCACAAGAGCTTGGAGGGGCGGAGTTTCCTCCTAACTCCCCTGAGGGAGGAGGCATCTCTGACATCTCCTTCCATAGCTTGCTAAACAGCGGGTGCTTTCCCAGCGCTAGGGCTGCCGCACAGCCAAGGCATCCTCCAGCAGCCCTTACCCGGGCGTGACAGAGGGCTTAGAGCATTTTGCCTTGGGGTCACTTCTTTCACAATGTCACCTTAGGTTCACACTTCCCGACCTGAGAGGCATTAGTAAAAGATATATATCTTAATGATTACCTATGAATAGCTAAGATCACTTATGAATAACTAAGGTCCCCTGTGAATAACCAAGGTCCCCTGTGAATAACTACTATGGTTATAGCTCTAGTTATTTTCTTCCTCATTATTTATATGGGAACAGGCTGAGGCTTGTGACTCCTACCCCGGCACTTATGCGGTCTCCCACCCACAATGAGTGGCCTTTGTCTCACCAGAGGCACAGGGGAGGAGGCACGGTGGCCAGGGGGAGGTGGCCTGCTGGCTGGAGATGCCTGGTAGGGAGCCCCCATGGCTTGCATTAGGGCTGGGCTCTGCTGCTGGGAACCCGGCTTCGGCTGCCTGGGCGTGTGTCCTCAGCTCCCGAGCCCAGGCACAGCCGGATGGCATGGGTGGCTAGAGATGGTCTCTGACCCTGCACTCCTTGCTCTGGATGGCAAGAACTTGCCTGAAGGCACACAACTGTCCTTATATCTCTGACACAGGAACACAACTTCAAACGCTGAAGCCATTCAAATGTCGTTAAAGATTATGTGTATTATACCCCCCAAAACTGAAAATCAAGACAATATGGACCAATTCTCAGAGACACATAACTTATAAAAACTAACTCCAAAAGAAATGGAATGCCTGCTCAGCCCTGTGACTCAGGGTAAGTCACTGCCAGCTACAGTGGAAAACGCTGACCCCTCAATGGTGGGGCACACAAAACTTACTACTCACAGCACGCCCAGCTTCAGCAGTAACAGGAGAGCTCTTCCAACAGAGACGAGCAGGCTTCCTAACCCTGCGATGCAGCTGCCCCGGTCACTGGCAGGGAGCTACAGTGGAAAACGCTGACCCCTCAATGGTGGGGCACACAAAACTTACTACTCACAGCACGCCCAGCTTCAGGAGTAACAGGAGAGCTCTTCCAACAGAGACGAGCAGGCTTCCTAACCCTGCGATGCAGCTGCCCGGTCACTGGCAGGGAGGCTCTCCAAGTGGCGCCCCAGCTCTGCACCGCTCTGGCCCCGAAACGACTCACCTCGACCCCACGCACAGGCCGTAGCTCAGAAGCAGTCACACGGCCCCTACCCAGCTCAGGAACACGCAGGGCCAATGAGGAGGACATAGGGATGGTCATGTGAATGGTTCTGCCACATCCGGGAACATGAGTTCTACTGGATCTGCAGTCAGACCCCTGACAAAGAAAGTTGCAGGCACAAGGGACTTCGCCAGCAAGATCCATCACACATCCATGGAAGGAATAATTAGAATCTTAAGTAAATTCTCCTAGAGGATGGAGGAAGAACGACAACCCAGCTCATTTTTCGGTGGTGTAAAGATGCGGTGCCTGGCAAGAACAGCATCACAAAGGACAATCGTACGTCTCCGTCAGCCGTGAAGACAGACACTGACGCTGCGCTCCAGCAGACAGCCACCCCATGCTCAGGAGGCGCTGAGGCCGTCCGAGAGTTCCATTCACGCCAACTCGTTTCACCCTCACAACAACGCTGTGAGGAAGGGACTACTCCCTGTTTCGCAGACGAGGAAATCAGGACCCAAACACAGTTGGTAAATGGTATAGCCGGGCCACAAAATGCCAAACAAAATATTCACCAACCCAATACAATAATATGTACGTAACAGAAAATCGGAAATTTTCAGTGGGACTTACCTCAGAAATTCAAGGCTTTTTTCACAATAGCAAATTATGGTTGTTAACCACATCAGTTATTAAAATGAGAAAAATCACGTGGTATTCTCAATCACTGCAGAAAAGGTGACATAATTCATCCATTCCTGATGCAAATTACTGACAGAAGCAGCTTTAAAATGACAAAAAAACTATGACAAGTAAGCGGATGAATGGTGAGGACTGATCACCCCTCTGAATATTCTAACATGGTGCCTGCTCTTCTGCCACCTCTAATCGGCACTAGCGGTTCTGACCAGCGCAGGAAAGCAAAACACAAACATAAAGTGAAGATCCCGAGTAGCAGGAAAGGGAAAGAAAACCCGTTACTCACAGGGAACACGACTGTGTGCCCAGTGAGGAGAAAAGAGCTGGAGGCAAGTCATCAACACTACTAGATTGCCGGCTACAAACTAATACATGAAAATGGAATTTCCATGAAATGGCAACTCGTAATTAGGAAAATGAAACCCAAACGCATTTTTAAAAGCAGCATTGCAAAATAACAAGGACCTAGAATTAAATGTAGCAAAAGATACCAGACCACTGAGAAATCATCCAGCTGTGTAACATCCTTCTATCCGGGAGAGAACCTGTATTCAGCCCATATTCACTGTCTGTTCAACCCAGCATCACAGGGTGTCGATCACTCCCAAGTTGACCGACACGTGCAAACCCAAACAAAATCCCGGCTCAACCAGCTGCTTCTCAAATGCATAAACCCCAAGGGTCAAACGCAGCCAAGTCCTCACTTCAGATGGAAGGATGCACCCTAGAGTGTGGTACTGGCACAGAGACAGACAAGGAGGTGCAGAAACAGCCACAGAAATCATCCTGACGGGCCGGGCACGGTGGTTCACGCCTGTAATCCCACTTTGGGAGGCCAAGGCGGGTGGATCACGAGGTCAAGAGATTGAGACCATATCCTGGTCAACATGGTGAAACCCCGTCTCTACTAAAAAATACAAAAATTAGCTGGGCATGGTGGCGCGTGCCTGCAGTCCCAGCTACTTGGGAGGCTGAGGCAGAAGATTTGCTTGAACCCAGGAGGCGGAGGTTGCGGTGAGTCGAGATCGTGCCATTGCACTCCAGCCTGGGTAAGAAGAACGAAACTCCGTCTCAAAAAGAGAAAGGAAGACTGGTCTACGTCCGGAACACCATGAAACGGGACCCTTCACCTTCACCACAGGCACAAAAATTAATTCTGGGTCAAATTTATATCTAAAATCCAAAATATGCAACAGAGCAGAATATCTGTATGACAAAGGCAGAGTAAAGATTATTACAAATTAGGATCCAAAACGCTTTGATCATAGAAGAAAACATTGATACATTGGGCCACACTGTTTAAAATTTCTCTTCACTAAAAGACACCATTAAAGTAAAAACACAAGAAAAGCTATTTGCAAATGGAACTCACAAAGCACTACTACCCAGAACTGTAATAACACCTGCCAATAGATGAGACAGACCAT